GAAGGTAACATTTGTTGTTACTGCTGCTGCAGCTCACCAGTAATTTCGTATACGTGTCAAGTCTACAAAATGACGATGCATCAATCGCACAGATTACTTTCTTCTAGAGGCCTACGAAATTATTTAAGAATTCACGGTTCCACGTCTTCAGCAGTGCATGGATGAGAAATCACATCAGAGTCCGTGGCTGAATAACGACTTTCTGGAACACTGATTAAAATACTTATATAAACAAATAAACATAGCATGCTGTTATACCAACACACGCCCTCCTACAACACAGTCACTCAGTTTCTCATCCATGCACTGCAGGCGAAGTAATACCATGGGGCTCTGACCTGCTAAAGAAAAAGTTGGCTAGGTCTCGATAAGTAAGGGCTAGTGGAATTAATGCTGTAAATTTGGAGAATTATAGCCAGCTCCGTCAAAAACCAACGTTTGCTAGTAATCCAAAAATGGCTTGCTTTATTTGCTCCGCTAGCTGAGGCCCAGAAAAGAACCGCCGCCGGAGAAGATGGTGTTGTGTCCGAGCTCATTGACAAAGACTCCAAGTGGACCAAGCCTCTCAGAGCCCTCACCTGGAACTCATTCAACTGGAATGAAGAAAAACAGCGTTCCGTTTAAACGCCTGGCTACAGTCGACAGTAGCCATAACCATTTGCCAAGATGGAAAGAAATGAAAAGTACAAACAAGAATGCCCCCAGTCCTCTGCGTGTAACTCGAGTCAGAGCACGGTGGACTACATCTCAAGACTGACGGATGACCGACTGATTTCAGAAATTACGAATTACAATCAAAGGGGGTGCAAGCGTCCGTCTGGAAGATGTCGGCTCAGACAGAACGATGGGTTAAAAGAGAAAGATAGAAGCTTGCAACAACAAATCGTACGAAACAGACGAGTGTCGGCATCAAAACTAGGCGGTTGCGATTACCTTAATTACGAAGAAGGATCAATCAGTTGGCAAACTTTTACCTAATTTATTAAGGATAATTTTATCTTATGATTGCTAAGTAAAACTGTACAACGATGAGAGCGTTGAGAAAATGGGAACCCCATGAAAATATCAAAAAACGGCGAAAATATATAGAGGGTAAATGTAAGGGAGAAGAAAGAAAAGATTCAAAAGTTACCAGTAATAAACAAAGTAAAAAAATAATCCAATCGCTTCAACAGTTAAAAAACTAGATATAAGAATAGGACGCAACCACTTCAAGTAGCAAATGATTAAAACAACGTACCATATTCAGCAGAAATCTGAAAACAAAGGCTAAAACTGAATAAAATCAGCTAAAATCTGAGCACATGAAAACCTGAGTCAAGAAAACAGACGAGCGAAAGGCTCCAGCAGCTGTGCAAATAAGCAAGAATCGAGCAGGCACTTCTGAGATTAAGAAAACGTCATTCGATAACGGTGCGTCGAATGAGACACTGTTTACTCGATCATAAAACCGGACGGGCATTGAAGAGTGAATCTCAGCTCCGAATGATGATTCAGCATCTGATCAGTTTCAGAATGTAGACTGAATGGTGGCAACGCTTAAACAATACCAAGTTTGGTGACAGAGTTAACCAACACTCAGACCTAAAATTATCAACGCAGTTCAGTAAATTCATCCGAAAACGAACAAAAGGGGAACTAAGGATGATAAGGCTGAAATACCATCTAAACACCGAGGAATCGCGAGAAATTGCCCTGCTTGAGGAACGTTACTGTCATTATGTTAGACTTATTGACAATGCATGGAAATGTTACGTCAGTGTAGCTATTAATTCCTTAGGGATGACAAAACGAAGAGGATGATAATGAATCAGCTAAAGAGTGAAAAATTGACACGGCGTAACGAATCAATTAGCAGTGATAAATTAATCAGCGGATATAGCCATGGATCGACAGATCGGTTTATCTTCTCAATCACAAATCTTGGCAGCAATTCTTTCTGACAGACTGAAAAACGGCAAGCGGTGGTCGAACAGGAAGCGATAAACGATCCTGCAGCGTGGCGCAACAGGAAATGGTGACAAGCAGACGATATGGCGGTGGCAGCTGATGTCGACCTCAGTCGAGAACAGCTTTATTGACCTGTGCGGTAAATAGTCGATGAAAAATGTCCACTGCAGAAAGCCAATTAAATTTATGGCAAACTGCCATGTTGCTGTGACTGGCATTAGTTCTCCTATCGACGACAAGCGGAAAACATGTAAAATCTCAATTTCAGATGATATATTGGTACTCGGTCACAAATTAAGAAGACGACACTCCAACAGTGCCTA